TTTTTTTTTTCAACCCCACCTCTTCCTATATCCATTCATTTGTTTATTCATTCATTAAACCAGGAGCCCATTACAAGGAGTGGCCGTGTTGAGCATTGGGTTTGCTCATAGCGTTTTCAATCAGGACATGTACACGTTTGGATTTTTCTCGACCAATTATCAATCCCTTCAGATATTACGAGCAAGCGGGAAATCCGCGGGAAACCAAAATAAAAATAAAATTTAACAACATGGCAAACGACAGTGAAAGAGAAATGACGACTGAAAAAATATCTAAAAAAGAGACACGTCATGAAATGCTGTGCCACTTCTGCACAAGGACATGCTCCTAGTAATGGGCTTCTGATCAAACCATTCAAATACACGCCCAACGTAATTCCCAGTTCGCGTCTCATCGTTTAGGTGCCATAATAGTTTCAAGCTGTTCAAGAGATTTGCCTTTAGTCTCTGGAACCATAAAATAAAAAAACACCCATCCAGCAAAWGCTATACTACCGTAGAGCCAGAACGCTCCATAGCGTGTAATCCACTCCATTAAATTGAGAAATGTCAATGCTATTATGAGATTACAAATCCAGTTCACTGCAGTTGCACTAGCTATGCCTTTGCTTCTTGCCCATAGTGGAAAAATCTCTGAATTGAGAGTCCAAGGCATGGGTCCCATCCCAGGAGCAAACGAAGCAATGTATAAAATCATTCCAACAAAAGAAAACACAGCAAAGTGTGAAGGGCATGTCGAGTATGCCCACTTGGCTTGCTGGCCGTTACTACATCTACCGGACAATGCACGGTGTGACGAAAGGTTCGTAAAGGTGCAGGAACCATTCGTGAAATAACCATGTGAATTCTGGTTATAGCAAAACCCACAGTCTTCTTTGGCCACACATTGCATGCAGCTGTCCAATGATGTACAGTGACTTGCCTGCTCATGAAATGTTACCTTGGGATCATTTATGTCAATCAAGTAGAATGCTCCACCAATCAAAAACAAGCTTAATGTTACTAGTGCCAGACTTCCAAGCAGAAGTTTGCGACGGCCGATTTTCTCAACAAGGAACATTCCGACAATCGTGAAGAGAAAATTACCAAAAGCAACAGCAGCAGCTAACCATATTGCAAGGTTATCCGTACCAATGCCTGACATAACGATAATGGTGGCACTGTAATACCTAGAAAAAATACACATTTGAAGATACAAATTAAAAAGAATGTCTTTGAATAAAGTTTCTATAGATAGTAGTCACATGTTGTCCGTTACACATCAATGGACACACACCTAAATTAAGCTACTGAATGGCCAATATCAAGAGCATAATTGAATCTTAMAACAAAAAGACGATCTCCGAAAGTAACGAAACACCCCAAAATGCACAGGAAAAAGAATGCAATTCAGTTTTGAAGAAACTTGGCTTTCAGTTAAATRTCTACAAAACAACGTCAGCTACCAATCAGCAATTACAACAGAGGCAACACTTGGTACAGAAATCACCTGACTACATTCCTTTCCAACAAACGATGAAACCAGTATTTAACTTTGACTACAATTTGTTTCACAGGTTTATGAAAAACTAATGAGAATATGAAATATACTATCCATGAGAGAAGTGCCGTTTTTTGTGAGGATAGTAAGTGAATGGGTTGTTGCTTACATCAAAGTGTTGATTCCACTGAGTTGCTGCACAGCCTGCAACATACATCCAAGTAGTAGTGCTCGCCTTGCTGTTGGGTCTTTTAAAATGCTAACACAGTTTTGTTTGCCTTGTTCTGAAATGTTTAGAATGGCAGCATAAGTTAGAGCATCTGGATAACAAGAAAAGCAAAGTAAAATATTATTACTATATTTATAAATTTATTGATTAAACGGTCTAATCAAGAGGGAAAGAGGTCAACAAGCAACATGTCGTTAAAGATATCCTGCCAGATGAAGAAACTGAAACAGACTTAGGCAAGGKGCCAAATCATCTTGTGTACCTCTATGTCCTACAGAAGACCCATTAGAAATTGTTCTCGTCAAGAGCGCAGACTGAATGCCTTTTGCCTGGCAGGACTGCGTTCCCAACAAAGACATGCTTGCAAAAGCAAAGATCACGAGGATGTTTGCCCTCCTCTTCCAGAGACGTCAATGTTGGCTCGGTCATGTCATACCCATGTAGAATGGATGAATTCCTAAAGACATTCTGTATGGAGAGCCTGCTTCTGGCACCAGACCAACCAGCAGCCCCTTCCTCAGATTCAAGGACGTCAGTAAAAGAGACCTGAAATCAGGCAACATCCGCCTTGCCGGCCTCGAATCAACGGCTGCCGATCAAGAGGCCTGGAGACAGTGCTGTGAGAGTACTGAGAGAGAGGACCAGTGGAAGGAGATGAGAGAAGACAGACAACAAAAGGCAGCATCAGTGCCAGTACWGAGAGAAGCAGACGCTGGTTTCATCTGCCGCTCCCGCGTCGGAATGTTTAGCCACGGAAGGCTCTGCCATGTTTATGTTTAATGCTTATGTTTTTCTAATGAGTAATTTGATTTCAACATACCTGTAGCTAATGTTTCTTCCTCTTGGCAGACAGCAATAATTCCCTGTACTTCTTCTTCAATGTGTATAGTCCCTCTCAGTTTCTTTAATGCTTTTCTTGCTGCACCCAAATGATTGTGCTTGATTAGCCATCTTGGACTTTCAGGTAGAAATATACATCCAATAAATAAGATTAATGATGGGACAGCAGCCAATCCTAGCATGTATCTAGAGAAACCAACAACTACATTTAAAGTGCACCTTCACGATATTTTTTTATTATCTAAAACAATTTTTATGAACCTTGTAAGACTTTCTGTGAAAGTTTGGTGATTATTTTGCAAACGGTTGGGATAAAATCGGAAAAATAAAGCCAAAATTAAGTGCGTCAAATTCTTTTGTCCGAGCGGGAACTGGCGCGACTCTTGTGACGTCATCCCAATTACCAATAATTCAGTGCCCCAGGGTGGGGATATTAATACTTCCATATGACAGTGTTGAATATTCCATAATATTGTCAATAATCTTAATCTAGCATGTTTATAGACTGATATAATTATAAACTTTACCTCCAACCCTGATGCACATTTGCAAAAATCCCATCAATAATTGAAGCCACAAACTGTCCTCCTGTGATGAATCCATTGTTCATTGTGACTAATTTACCTCGAACTGAAGCAGGTGTAGTTTCAGCTATGTATAATGGAACAGTCATTGAAGCCCCTCCTGA